ATATATGTTTAAGCACATTTTGTGTGTGTGTGTATACATTACACACACACACACATATATGCACGTATAAATATTTAAGCACTTTAAAAAAAACCAAACCAAACATTTTTGGGAAAGCAAGAAAAGTTTAAAGACAGAATTTTCTTTCTGGCTTCTCTAACCTTTTCTTGGTACAGGAAGTACTCCTGTTGAAGCTCAGCTTCATTATTCTTTATTTAGCACTGGGCTGGCTGCCAAGTAACATGGGGGGGGGCTAATTCTCTACCATCATTACCTCCTATTAAGTAATTGCTAATGGACTTGAGGTAGTTAAATCTTTATAAAAGTTTGTGATAGACCAATAGGGGCCAAATATTTTGGCAGGCATGTCACGAATTAGTTCCACACCCTCCCTGAGTGACACGCTGACCTCTGTCCTCTGCCTAATCTGCTGCTCTGCTTCCTGTTTCCTTCCCTGTTCACCCTACCCAAATCTCCTGATCTGTTTTCAGCTTCCCACCCAGTGCCAGATCTGCCTGATCCCCTTCCCTGTCTGATCTGCTGCTCTGCCTTCTGCTTCCTGCCCTATCTGCCACTGTGCTGTCTGCCCCCACCCTGGTCTGTTGTATGCCACACACAGAAACTGCCCGTGCTGCCTGCCACCCCTGTTATGGACAATCCACAACTTCTGTTCAGGCTCACAAACATTTGTAGATACCTTCTCTATAGAGAGCCAAACTGAAGGGATCACAGGATGGTACTGATAATCAAACTCACTTCTTGATTTAGAGGTTTAGGGTAGAACCAGAATTGTAGGATCACACTATCTAGTCTTCTTTGAGCTCTGTCTAGAAAAGTGCATAGCATTTTAGGTTCCAAGTCCCTAACTTGAACTGATTTCTTTAAAACTGAGATTATGTAAGTCCTTCCAAGAGGAACTGCTCAGTACTGGATCAGCGAGTATTTTTGGAAATGAGGAAGCACATATTTACGAAGTACAAGTTATAGATGGGGACATGGAGTCGGACGTTTTAAGCGGGGGTTACAGGAGGTAGGGCTCTGGGGTATCTTGCTATCTCTGTAGTGGAGTCACTGCTTAGCCTTGATCAAGTGGTAGCATACCAACTCCAAGATCACTGGGCCAAACAATGAACCATTAGAAATATATGTACATTTTTATTCAGCTTAATTTGTTCAGGTAAAAGGTACTGGGAATGGGTGTGCTGCAGGAATAAGTCCCCAAAACAGGCCCAAGAAAACTAGTTTTGTTCATATTCTTCAACAACAACCTGGAAGAACCAATTCAGAAGGCAAGGTCTACCAATAATCCTGTCTGCTAAAATCACCAGAAAAAAAGCAATGAGTGGATGGTTTGGCCAGGTTAAGGGGGAGATGCTTTTTGTTTTTTTACATAATTGAAGACACATTCCCACTGGGAATCACTAGGATAATGACTTTGGAGCACTAGTGTCCAAAGATGTGCTTGGACAAAGGGCAGTAAGAGAGAGAAGGCAGATTGAGAGACCCGTGGAAATGGTTGGAAGATGTTGCAATGCCAAAGCCACAGCCACTGCCTCTGCTTGCACCTGTGACGTCTCTGTCCAGGTAGGACTGCTCACCATTGAGGCTTTGACCATGGTCCAGGTTTGGCACTGTGGGGACTGCGGCTTGCACGTTCCTTCCAGTGATGGCCAGGTTGGGGAGCGCCTGGCATGTGAATATGTCTCCTGGTGCTGTCTCCCAAGAAACAGGCATGAGAGCTATACAGGAAGAGGTGGTGAGGCTCCAAAGCATCCTCCATCATGAGGAGTTCATTGATTCGATTCTGAAGGAGATATCCAGGACTGTGGAGGAAGAACTGCCAGAGGCAGCACTAGAAAAGAGAGAAGACATGGACTTCCAGGAGGCTGGAAGCTGGAAGCTTGTGATCTCTGGCAGCAAGTAGAAATTTCATCTGCACCTGCAGCAGTTCATCTGGAGAACAGATATGCAGCCAGACAGGGAGAAGCACGTTCCACTGGTGGAGGAGGAGGACAGGCCAGGCCTCATCAAGGTGGGAAGGATCAAGACAACTGCCACCAAGAAGCAGTGACGCGTGGTGGTGTTTAGAGATTCCCTTTTGCAGGGGACAGAGGGAGCCATCTGCCAACCTGACCTGTTGTCTTGGGAAACCTGCTGCTTGCCTGGAGCCTGGATCCAAGATGTCACAGAGTGATTACCGAGATTCATCCAGCCCTCTGACTACTAACCCATGCTCATCCAGGTGGGCATCAATGATACTGCCAGGGGAGATACTGAGCATATCAAAAGTGACTGTAGAGCTCTGGGTGCAAGGGTAAATGGGACTGGGGCTCAGGTCGTGTTCTCTTTGATCCTTCTAGTCAAAGGAAAGGGCCCAAGCAGGAGCGAGTACATCCTGCAGATCAATACCTGGCTTTTCAGGTGATGTCATCATCAGGGCTTTAGCTTCTCTGACCATGGGATGTTGTACCGAGAAGGGTTCCAATTTTTGTGTGTGTTTTTTGCACAGCATATTGAAATATGGAAGGACACTGTACAAGCAGCATTGACTAAGTATAGACCAGTGAAAGTATTAGGATCTATTCAAGCATTTTATTCCAGTTATTGTACATTTTCAAGGGATTACAAGATTTACTGGTTTCAGGAAGGAAAGTGGAATCAACAAATTCTGACCTCTCAGAAGTGCCGTTAGTCTCATGGAGGCCCCCAAGCAGAAGCTAAGACATGGGCCCCTCCCTACCCACACATTCTTATTAGATACCTTCCACTAACTCAGTCTAGTGAGGCTCCTCAGACTTGGGGGACTTTGGCAAATGCCTTGGTTCTTCATCCATTAAACCACCTCTGCAAGCAGTGAGGAATAAACTAGAATTATCACTGGATTAAGCCAATCTTATTTCATGCCCATTTATAATTTAAGTTTGATACACAATTAAATATAGTTACTAAAGCTACGGACAGACATTACACATAAACTGGTTTAAGTGATTAGAAACTGAACAGTGGCCCTGGGGCTCACAGACCCCAGCTGCAGGGCAGACGGGACGGAGGGCGAAATTAACCCTTCTCCCCTTCACCTGGCCACGTCCCTGCCACTGGAGCAGATGGGGAGGGACATAAGTACTAGGGCTGTGCGAAGCTTTGGTCCCCTATTTGATTCAGCGGCAATTTGGCCCGATTCAGTGGCTGAATCTCCAAATCCGAATGGAATCAGAGGACCCTTTAATCTCTCCAAATGGAATCGGAACCCTCCAAATTGTTTCGGAGAGATTCAGAAAGATTCGGAAATTCTGACATAGACACAGCTTTAAATGTCTTTTCTACAAACCTCTAGGTAGCAGGGGCTTGTGAGTGCTGCGATGCTGGGGTGCATGGAGTGTCCCACAGAAGCATGAGGGGCTCCCCAGCACGCTTGGCAGCAGATCCGGAAGTGGACCAGAAGCACTTCCAGTCCACCAGGAAGCATGCTGGGGGTCCCCTCCTACCCCCCCACCCCCCTGCTTGGTGACTTGGGCCTCCTGAGTCTGGGGGGGGATCTGGGGGGAGAACCCGCAGCAGATCACTGAGCTGGGGAGGCGCGGGGGGGCCAGCGCGCTCCCCAGCAGACCTGGAAGTGGATCAGAAGTACTCCTGGTTCCACTTCCGGGTTCACTGCTGAGCATGTGGAGGGCTCCACCACACACCTGTGGGACGTTCCATGCGCCCCAGCATTGCAGCGATCACAAGCCATGCCTGCTACCTCAAGGTATGTAGAAAAGACTTTTAAAGTTGTGTCTACGTCCGAATCGCCAATTCTCTGAATTGGCATCGAATCTTCAGATTTGGATTCAGCCAAATCGAATCAGGGACAATGATCCAAATCAACAAATCGAATCACTGTCCCTGATTCGGGCCAAATCCGAATCGAATAGGACCCGCTTCGCACACCCCTAATAAGTACCCTCTAAATGTGAGAGTGCCCAGGAGGGAGTTTATTTCCCCCCTCCCCTCCCTGTCCCACTGGCAGGAACCGCAGCCCTTCTGGCATGGACCCATTAAGGTTAAGAGGGCAGGAAGGGAGTTAATTTCCACCCCCCCCATGGGTGACTGCAGCTGGGGCGAAGCAGCCCCCCTCCTCCCTGCATCCCCATCACCACAGGGTAGGGAGAGAGGCTCCCTGGGCAAGGTTGCCCATCTACAGAGGGGGACTTCCCCCTGCTCCTCCCCTGCCACTGCGAGGCAGAGAGTGGGGCTCTATGGGAGGCTGGGAACTCTTGCCTCCCAGTTCCTCCCCTGCTGCTACAGGACGAGGCGGGTGGCTCTGCTCAGTGCTGGGGGGGGAATCTTTTCCTTCCTCCTCCTCCCTCTGCCACCACGGGGCAGGGAGCGGGTGCTCTGTGCGGCGCTGCCCAGCCCAGGCCAGTTGGGACATGGGGAGTGGCTGTAACTGAGCTGCAGCTGCTGGGGGTGGCCCTGCTCCCATGGCCCAGGCCAGCCTCGCTCATCCCCAGCTAAGGCTCAAAATCTTGCTCACCAATCCATGACGGACATTGCCAAAGTTTCTGAAAAACAAACTATTGCATGTGCATGTAAATCCGATCTGTTCTTCCAAAAAATGCTACCCAACGATTCAGAGAGCAGGAA